AATTAATGAGATAAGTACCCTGCCCGGTGCACTGGTAAAGCATCCACTGCTCTCTGTGTAAAACTCATCAGAGCTCAGCTTCCTCTGGCAGGGATCAGCAGGCCAGGTTAAGTGGCTAACTGCAAGTAATTCTTGGCCTTTTAGGAGTCGTGCAACTGTGTAGTAGTCTCAGTTTCTGAAGTTCAGAGAGTAAGACAGAAACTTAAAGCCTAGATATTCTTCCTGCTTTCAACTCAGACTAATGTAAACTAACTTAATTATTAGGTTAAAAAGGCTTTCTCGCCCCTCCTCTTCTCCATCCTGAATGGTGGTGGTGGGTGGAATCAAACGTCAGACCAGAGCCACTCTCAAAATCTGGTCCAGACACTCCACCTGTAAAGGGTGTGAGAATTGCTGGCCCTGGAGGACACGCAGGGAGACGGGCAGACTCGGCTGCTGTCTCTGACCCCAGACACAGTCTGCAGCACTGACGGGATGCAAAGAACTTACATGGCTGTGTTCTTGATAATTCTTCCTTGGTCCATTTTCTGCCCAATGCCATGCACGACAAACACAATGTGGGTCGTCTGGGACGGCTTGTCCTCCAGGGTGGCTTCTTCTACGTAGCCTCTGTGCAGCCGCGTCCCACTACTCGACGCTGGGGGAAGAGTGTGATGCTAAGTTAATGCTTTACACTGAGAAGGAGAATTTCCACAATATGTTTAACCAAAAAATAAATAAATAAATTGATAAATAAAATAAAAAAAGAAGAAGTAAAAGGAATATCAAGAAATAATTCTCTGGGTAGGAAGAAATAAAATTTGTTAGGTGACTTGTACCAATCAGCTCTGATAGGGAGTAACTAGACGTGACACCCACGCCAGAGCCTCCAGGAGAAAGGGAAAGAAAAAGGACAGGATGAACGGTGTACAAAAGTTAAAACTCCTACAGTAAAAAACAGCAGGAAGCGAAGACGAAAGGTGAGTGACAAACTGGAAGCGATTATGCAAAATATGACACAGTTCCAGTTGTACCCAAGGATACCAAACAGGGCTTACTAATCAGGAAGCAAAAGACACCCATTCAAATAGCAAAATGGGCTGGAGATAGGACAAGGTAGTTCACAAGTTAAATGTAACAGACTAATAAACATAAAGAGACAGTCAAGGATTCATCACCAAAGAAATTAAAATTAAAAGTGGGACAGTACAATTTTATTAGACTTAATCATTTTTTTAACTTATTTTTTGATAATGCCCTCACATCATCCCTAGGTACCACTCCCTGTATTTTTTTTCCTTTTAGTTAAACTCCTTTAAAG